AAAAAAAAAAACACCTCTATTGGAACATCCCAATGCTTGTACTTGGACACCAAATTGTCGTCAATCACAACTCGAATAACCGAGAAGGCAGCTCTATAAGTATCAGCCTTTTCAGGTTGTATCCTAACCTTGAACAACATTGTTTTGCCGGCCAAATTAGACACTTCCTTCGGCAATTCAAAGTTCATGGCGTTCTGCATGTAAACAAAATAAGTAAATAGCTATGTTATGTAAAATAATATAATATAAATGTAAATGAACGATTAAAATAATATCAAATATTTCACCTGCTCGGCAAAGGCACTCTTCAACAAATGACATGGCCTTCCAATGATCCGTTCGCACTCCCGGTCCCATAAGATGAATGTTGCGTTTGCAGTATCATCACAAATACAAAAACGGATCCTATAGCTTTTTTTTTAAAAAAAAATAATTATAGTTTTAGTAATTTAGTAAGTATGATTTATAAAACAAATCAAATTATGGAAACAAATAAAGAAATATTACCGATAAATACCAATTGTTGCCTTGCACTTGGTGCACTCGACTTGATCATCAATATTTTCCATTTTGCCACTACACCTTCGACATGCTAGATAACACCAGTCATCTATCACAGTTTCAATTGTTGCGCACACCCAAATTCCCGGAGTCTACAATAATATTATAAAGCATAAAGTATCCAAATATTAAATATTATTTTTACATAATATAAAATACTTAAAAAAAATTACCTCTTCAATCTCGTAAAGAGAATAAACAGAAGTGACGACTACGTCTCCAGTTTTCAAATCGTCGATTTCATCTTTCACAAAAAACCTACTATTTGAGACCAAGTGCACGTCGCCAAAATTACCCTCATCCACACTAAATGATTAAATATATAATATGTGAGTATCATATAAATTTAATTGGTGAAAATTCAAATTTATAATATTAAAAAGCTAACCTCCGAATGAAATCTCGAATCTCGGGAAGACCAACTCCAGCAAGTAGTTTCGTAACATTCTTTGAAGTTGTTAATTGATTCGTTTCTGACATTTTACCGTATATTATAAAATGTTGCGTGTAAAATTAAATAAAATAAAGTGTAAATCTTTTAACGAAAATAAAGGAAATTAGGTGGAAAAATGGAAGAATAATTATATGATTTAATATGTTGAAATAAATACCTGACCAAGGCTTAGTTCGGCAAAGATGCATAATTAGCACAGGCGGTTGACGATCATTGCCATACTCCTTTTCAATATCTAGAAGTCGATCAACGAAATCTCCCCAAATTGTGCCATCGATAGTGTTCCTCCTAAACAATTAATTAAATAAATGGTGTTTTCGATTTTCACAAAATTCAAAATAGTTAAATAAAAAAATTCTTACTCTAGATCCATAAGAGTAAACACAATCATTTTTGTGGGAACACCATCGACCTCTTTCATTTGAACCGCTCCAATTTTAACCAAGAGGCCAATTACATCTATCAAAAAAATGATACAATAGCAGCATTAATAAAAAGAAGGACGTGAACAATATTTAATTAATACAAAGTAGAATTAATAAAGAATAGAATTACCAAAAAGTAGTATTACAGATTTAATAAGAAGAAAGACGTGAACAATATTTAATTAATAAAAAGTAGAATTAATAAAGAATAGAATTACTAAAACGTGGTATTACAGATTACTAAAAAGTAGAATTAATAAAAAGTAGAATTACCAAAAAGTAATATTACAGATTACTAAAAAGTAGAATTAATAAAAAGTAGAATTACCAAAAAGTAGAAATAATAAAAAGTAGAATTAGAGATTACTCCTTTTAACATTTTTAAAAATTTAATTAATAAAAAGTAGAATTAGAGATTACCAAAGAGCACAGTTTGATCTCGGCGGGCCCCGACACGGAGATTACCAAAGCTTTTAAAATCAAATCGCAAATTCGGGAAGTCGCCTTTCCACCTAACCAAACTTGTCGTACCGTTGATAACAATTTTGAATTGACAAACTGATAGTCGAAATGAACCAAAGTTGTTCTCCACTTGGTATTTGTTAATTCCATAAACATCTCCTTCCTTGATTTTGTTGATCCATTTCTTCATATGAGCAGCTCGGAG